ACATTACATTACGTCTCGTATAATGTGCTAATTGATCAAAATTTTAAAACTGGAACGCAAACGTTACATCCAAGTCCTACCATCTGCCTCGGCTAGTATAGTCTTTCCGGTCAGTTGAACATGTATAAAAACGCCTAGCAATAAAATTTCATACGCGTTCTCTACTAAAGGTAAAAAATTATAATAATTTGTATATAATGTGTAGAAAATTTAAATGTTCATTTGGCCAATGACATTTTAATTATTTATGTCCTCAAACAATTTTATTATATAGATGGTAAATTTTTTTCGCAATTGTAATATGAATATGAATAGAAGGTGCCTATAATAAATTAAAATTACCTGTATCACACCAAATTACGCATTGCTGCACTGCACTGCTAGTCAGTCACTTGGTTCTTGGTTCTTCAACTGAGGTCGGAAAGACTATACAAACGTTATTTTTTCTAATAATTGCCGGGTATTTAAGAAGTATGATTTTTCATGATCTGAAAGTTTCAGAAGCAACACTGTTTTATATCTAAAGTTTCCATCGATTTTATCATTTACCAATACGTCCGACGTTCGTCGTTTGAGTCAGTTTTACCCTGAAACTTTGCTAGTTAAAATACATTCTCTTTATCCTAACAATACTGTATATGCTTCGAACATTTTATCAGGGACTATTCCAAATCAATTTCTCGTAAGTTCATTATGCGACGTACATAAAGTCAAACAAATAAAATTTCCTTTGGAATACTTTGTCAAAAATGTATATATTTTAAATACCTTTTAACGTTCCTCGTTTTCGTTTTCGCGGCTATGCTTTATTTGCCTTTGTTTAGCAATTTAAATAATTGAGATTAATTGGCCAGACAGTTTTGAGAGATTTTTCAGACGCGATGAGCGCCTGTCACAAAATCAATTAAACGCGGGTTAGCGAACGGGTGGGATTAGATTTTCGAATAAAACGGAAATTGCATTATTTTTATTAGCGCCGCGGCCTGACATTCAGACTAATGAGAAAGGAGATTAAAGCACAATTCTAATTATGTAGTCCTTCTAGAGAAAATTTGATGGTACATATGTTTCAAGGTGAGAAATATGCAACTGTCCAGACCAAATTGATATCGTAAATGTAATTAGGTGTTGGCTGGTATGTCACATTGAAACAAACTATACTATTCTATGATGCTCGTAAAAAATAATTTTGCTAAAAGATATATTTGGAAAAATTCGTTTGATTTCATTTCCACTAATATTTTGAATAGACGGAAAAATAAAACTGTTGAACAATGTGAGGGCATAAACCCCGAAAATGTGATCGGATTTTGCGTGCGACATCGATTTAGGCGGATTCCCTATACGTATAAGAAAGTAAACGAGATCCGGATATGCCGAGGTCATTTTCGAATTTCTCGTACTTGATTTAAAAAATAATTTCCCGAGGAAACGATTTCTCTACCCGCTTATAGGCGGATTCGTTTTTTTTTTTTTTCATTTTTACTGATCTTTTGATTAACTGGTAAAGTAAAGCTCCTGAAAAATCCCGGAAAAACCTTGTCCAATTTGATGACGTAGATTCCAAAAATTTAATCGGATTTTGTTCTATTTTTTATAATTTTTACGGATCTTTTGAATAATTGGAAAACTAATAATTTTTCTTTAACTTCTGAGGATTTTGAAAAAAAATCTTTAAGTCAATCTGCAGGCGTAAATTAATAAAACGTAAGCGGTTTTTGCGTGGGATGTCAAATGGACAAATTCAGTGGTATTTTTCGCCCATATCCCTGAAAATAAACGAGATCCGTATATACCGAGGTCGTTTTCGAATTCCTTGTACTTGATTTAAAAAATAATTTTGTAAGAAAACGATTTCTCCACCCGCTTATAGGTGGGTTCCTTTTTTTTTCATTTTTACTGATCTTTTGATTAACTGGTAAAATAAAAATGTTCATTTGGCTCCTGAAAATTCTGAAAAAAATCTCCTTGTCCAATTTGATGACATAGATTCCAAAAATGTAATCGGATTCTGCTTTATATTCTGAATTTCTACTGATCTTTTGAATAATTGGAAAACTAATAATTTTTATTTGGCTTCTGGAAATTTTGAAAAAAATCTTTAGGTCAATCTGCAGGCGTAAATTAACAAAACGTAAGCGGTTTTTGCGTGGGATGTCAAATGGTCAGATTCAGTGATATTTTTTTTAATTTTCGCCCATATCTCTGAAAGTAAACGAGATCCGGATATACCGAGCTCGCTTCCGAATTCCTCGTACTTGATTTAAAAAATAATTTGGAAGAAAATGATTTCTCCACCCATTTATAAGCGGATTCGTTTTTTTTTCAATTTTACTGATCTTCTGATTAACTGGTAAAATAAAAATGTTCATTTGGCTCCTGAAAATTCTGAAAAAATCTCCTTGTCCAATTTGATGACGTAGATTCCAAAAATTGAATCGGATTTTGCGTGCGACATCGATTCGGACGGATTCGATGTTATTTGTATGAATTTTCGTCCATATCTCGAGATCCGTAGAAACCGAGGGTTTCTTACTTCAGATTTATTTGTCTACAATTTTGAAAAAAAACTTTTGAGAAAAAACGACTCCTTCGCCGATTTTTAGAAATGTCCGATTCCAACTTTTACTAGTCTTTTGAATAGCTGGAAAAAAATAAGTCTCTATTTGGTCATTCAAAGTATTGAAAAAATCCTCCATACCAATTCGAGGCCGTAGATTTCCAAAATGTACTCTAATTTTGTGAGTAATTTCGATTTTGGCGATTTCGTGGCTTTATAATTGTTTTTTTTATGAATATTGGAAAATGAAAGGCATCCGAACAAACCGAGGTAAGTTCCTTGAAGTAAAACAATGTTTGTAAAGAATAATTTTGCCGAAAAACAACTTTTTCGCCAGTAATCTTTGAAAGAAAAAGTTGAGGTATTCAAATTAAAATATTCGATATTTGAAGAATTTTAAAATTTAGGAGTTCTTTGTAGTCGAGTTTGTGGGGTGAGCCGCTCGGCTATGTTCCCTTATAAAATTGCAAGGGCGCTCTTTAAATTCTTCATAACTTTTTCATAATAATTTTATATTAGAAACTTTCTCAAAGTTGTTGGAATTTACCCGATCCGGCCAATCTGCATTGTATACAAAGATAAAAACCGACATTTGAAAGTGAACAAAGCGGCTCAGACCGAATTCTTAACGGGCGTTTTCTAATAACTTTTTTTTGTCGACGGATTAACTGGGGGAGTTCCAAACGATGAATTTTTAAATAAAGAGCTAAATCCTCTCGAAATCCTCTAGGAAATATTCCACGTTTTTTTTTTTGTTAAGGTATTATTTAAATTTTAATTACCGGCGCTTAGGGCTTTTTTTCCCCCAAGCATTCGAAGAAAGCACTATCGGGATAATTTTATAATTTAAATTAATAACTCGTCTGCATCTGCATTCTAATTAACGAACTCGGATTACTTAGTACACCTGAAATAATTAGCATTCTCACCGAGACGTCTGCGAAACTGAAACAACTTTTCAGATTCTTCGTCGCAGTAAGCGAAAATTATGTTCCGCACAAATTAATTTAAACTGTTGCGCCTAAATAATTATTTAACGGTTTCATTAATCTCTTCACTGATATCTTAAACATGTAGTGTATAAATATGATTCCAATGACAATCACGCAAAGATTTTTTTTGTACCATTCAAAGCCGCATTATTTCAAAATTTTATTATAGCGCAAATTGACAACCCTCTTGCATCTACTACATAATTAATAAACTTTGATTAATTAGTGTGTGATTTAATTAGTCGCCGAACGTTTGTGTTTGAAGCTCAACCTGATGTCTCCCTCTGTACACGGAACAAACGGCCCAGTTTTCTTACCGCGTCTCTTTGTAGCTCAGCTGAGTGATTGTTCTGCAAGCATATTGCCTTCCCACAGTTTTGATTAATTTCGATTTCATGATATAACTTGACAATGTTCGGAAAAACGGTTTTGCGAAAAAATTATTCCCTCGGCGATTGCTTCATTTTTACTAATCTTTCGAATAAAAATTTCACTGAATAATGTTACAACTTCGCAGTAATTCGAATTACCGCCCTGATTTTTAGACTATAGCAGCAAATGTGGGTTCTAAATACCTTTAAGTGAACATTTTATACAATAAATTTATTTACGCAGTTATATCTACCTCTGTGTAGCAAAATGTCAAACACACGGTCCGCGAAATTACGTTAGTTGATGTGGGACCATCTGATGTCCCGGACCCCTATACCTGCCTGGACATGGTTTGTGGATAACGGCCAGATATCCCCCACTAAATCTGGAGATTCCCAATGCAAAACACGTGCTCGAAGACCCGATTAATAGTGGGAATGATAACGGGTTTTAATTTAACGTTTAATCTATGCTACAGGTCAATTCCCATTTTCATTGCCAGCCAAGTTCCGATCAGGCCTAGCCTGGCTCTAATCAAAGCTTTTTGTGAAACACTTGAATCACAAAAATTCTTCGCGAATATTTGAATGGGACTCGGATTTATTTTTTAATGTGCACATTTTATAAAACAGCAAAAATAATTGTTTTAAGTTTTACTTACAATTATTAAGGCTGGTTCACATACCAATATTTGTTAATAATGCGATAAATCTTTATTGTTTAAACATTTTCGAAATTTTTTTTAATGTTGGGCGCCTGGTTCATATGGATATAGGTTCATTCCCATTTTCATTGCCAGCCATGCTCCGATCAGGCCTGGCCTGGCTCTAATCAAAGCTTTTTGTGAAACACTTGAATCACAAAAATTCTTCACGAATATTTGAACAGCAAAAATAATTGTTTTAAATTTTACTTACAATTATTAAGGCTGGTTCACATGCCAATATTTGTTAATATTTAATAAATAATGCGATAAATCTTATTGTTTAAAAATTTCGAAAGGAATTTGCTTTTAGAAAATGATTTTTTTACTGTTTCAAAGAATCTCGCATTATAAAAGTGCTGTTTTGTTTCAGAAATCATAGACACCGTCAAGAAAGGTCCAGACGCGAACAACGGCCAGCCCTTGAGACCCCACTTGGGACCAGAAGCCCTGTGTGGTGACGAAGTGGCACAGCTTATGAACAAATGTTGGGCCGAAGATTCAATTGACAGACCAGATTTCGCTACTCTCAAGAACAAGTTGCACCAGCTGAACAAAAAGTAAGTGACCTATGAGCGTAGAGCGGTGGTGCACCAGATGGGACCGTACCCCCAAGTTTCGACAATTTGGTTACGTTAAATTACATTTTTTTTATTTCTGCTTCCGCAAACTCCTTTTCTGAGTGCGCCACTGGTATAGAGTATAGTACAGAGCTAGTCGGGTATGTCAAGGAGCGATTCCTTGCAAAATGTAAGGGGAATTCCGAAAAGATCTAGATCGCGTTATCCCGCATCATACGATGTTTAGTCTTTTACATCAGCGTCATTTTATAAAAGCGCCCTCAAATAGTTACGTTACTCGTCAGCTTCAAGAGCAAGCGCTTAACGAAATCGAATATTTCCACCAGGAAGATTGCTCACATATTAAATATTAGTCCCTCAACAGTTTGAAGAATTCTTACCTTTTATTAAAAATTACCTTTTAGTACTTATGCGTGACAGTGCTCCTGGCGATTTCGGTTTGGTTGCTGGACAATATTTGGATGTTGTATATCCAAATCGTTAGATAGATAGAGGAGGAGCCACTACCTTGGCCTCCACGGTCCCCAGACTTAAACCCTCTTGATTTCTTTGTCTAGGACGTCTCAAACAATTGGTTTACACGACTCCATTTGAAATTTTGGAGGAATTACGGAATCGAAGTTTGTTATCGATTATTTTAGTAGAATATTAACAAAAAAGAACTTTGAGGTTATCTAACTCGGTTAATATTGTATTTCTAAAATTAGAGTCGCCTAAATTTTTTTCTGTTTTCAGAAAAGTTCACGAGATTTTTTCTGCAAACCTTCCGATTGTTTTTTACGATTCTGCATTTAATAACAAAAATGTACAATTCACGTCGCTTTAAATTTTTAAATAATCGAATGAGTGTCAAATGGTGCGTTAAAGTAAAATGCTATTTAATTATAAAGTCAATCAGATTGAAATATATAAAACGGGAGATCGATTAATAATGCAGCATATGGAATACAAATCGCATTACACCGGTTATTTTCCGCCGTATAATATATTACATCGCGATGTAATTGAACGGAGATTCTCCCGAACAATTTAAATTAAGGGGGAAATATCGTTTATTGTCTACTGCCGATAAAAGAAGATAAATCGTGCGTCGAACTTAAAATCTGACGGCCTTTTTGTAGTGTGTGGGATCGATTTTCCGTATTCTGACTGGGTGATTGACCTAGCGCTCGTTTTGGCCTATGAACTTCAAACTTGCGATCCTATGCGTTTGGGAACTCTCCAAAAATACACCGGAGAACGACGGTTTTAGAAGGCGTTCGGAAGAATTTCCAGTAAACTAATACGAAATATGTTAGCTAGGTCGCAAAATACGTAAAGCGATTAGCTGGACTAGTAACAGTTGAACGTCGCGTTTTTTAATATACCTGTCCGTCAACACATGTAGGAAATACCTGCCCCCCCCCTCCCATTATTTCCTTGGAAACCAATATTCCCTTTTTATAAATATCACTTTTACGAGAGCGCGGTATTTATGGAGTAACTGATGCGTGAACCTCCAAAATAGATTTTCCGCTTGGCCAAGGTCTCTTACTGGTATGGTGCTGGGCAACGAACATTAAGTAAGTGTTCGTATTTTACGTAGAATAATTCGGGGCTTGTTTTTGTGTATTCGTCGGGGAAGATCTATTATTACCCACTCTGTAGTTATCGACTAGAAATAACGTACCATAACGTAAAAATAACAGGCACGCAATAAAAAAAAAGTCCACACCCAAGAGACCCACGTATCATTTCCGACGGAATTCGATGCGCTGGACATGATCCTGTAGTCAAAATCGTGATTTGCCGATGAATTTCGGAGAAAAGTGAAATTTTTGGATGACAGCTGACCCAAATATGGGTTAAAACTGATTTTTTCCTAAATTTTGTCCAAATACATCAATTTCGTAATATTTTGATGCGCTGGACACGATAATTTTAGTCAAATTTACCCATAACCTCCATATATCTCAGAAAATCCACTATTTGGGTGAAAACTCTCAAATAGGGGTCAAAACTGATTTTTTCCTAAATTTTGTCCAAATTTCGTAGTATTTTGGTGAAAATTGGCCCAAATATCACAACTGATTTCTTCCTAAATTTTGTCCTCATGGATCAAAATCCACTATTTTATCCTAAATTTTGTCCAAATTTCGTTGTATTTCGTAGTATAGGTGAAAACTGGCCCAAATATGGGTCAAAACTGTTTTTTTCCCAAATTTTGTCCAAATTTCGTAGTATTTTGGTGAAAATTGACCCAAATTTGGGTCAAAACTGATTTCTTCCTAAATTTTGTCCACATTTCGTAGTATTTTGGTGAAAACTGGCCCAAATATGGGTCAAAACTGATTTTTTCCTAAATTTTGTCCAATTGTATCATTTTCGTAATGTTTTGAGGCACTGAGCACAAATGCCATTGGTAAAATTTAACCATTACCGCTATATTTCTCAGAAAATCCACTATTTAGATGAAAACTGGCTTAAAATGGGTCAAATTTAGGAAAAAATCAGTTTTGACTCATATTTGGGCCAGTTTTCACCCAAATGGTGCATTTTCTGAGGAATCTCGAGGTCATGGGTAATTTTTACGAATGGCATCATGTTCAGTGCCTCAAAATACTATGAAAATTATATATTTGGATAAAATTTAGGAAAAAATTTGACAGTTTAGACCCATATTTTTGCGTTTTCACCCAAAAATTTCACTGTTCTCCTAAATTTATAGTCAAGTCTGAATTTTGACTACAGAATCGTGTCCAGTGCATCGAATTCCTTCGGATATGACATATGGGCCTCTTGGGTTTGGACTATTTTTTGTGTGCCTGTTTCATAAATTCATAAATTTTAGAAACTTTGTTCTAGAAAATCCTTTCCAAAAAAAAAGTCAGATTTTGGGTTGGAAATAGTGCTATTAAATAACATTCCTTTTTTAATGAGGGTATAACAACAAAAAAAGTTCCAACCGCGAAATATGGACAAAAAAAATTGATCTAAAATAATCAGTCCTATACAATTTTATTTACTATTTATTTATGGCGACGGCAGAAAGGGTGACAATATGTCTAATTTTTGCCCCCTAGCGATGAAGTTGGAAACTTAAAAATATTTTAAAGCAACTGAATAATTCAGACACAATATTAGTTTGTCAAAGTAGATGGGGCGCACAAATAACATTAAAATATGGTGAAATTGATTGGGTGCCTCTTAAATGGAACACAATATATAAGCGATATCCTAGAGGGACTGTAAGTTATTACCTCTACGTGTTACCGTATTAACTTGGGAGATCTGCGTCTGCAATCTGAATTAACCGGAGTTTCCTCGAACTTAGACAATCACTTTCACGGATTTCCGATCGGTATTGTTTCGGCACAACGGTTATACCGGATGTACCCGTCTCCGAGGCTTCTCAACACGAAGTTAGTACTTACCCTTTCACAATTGAGTAATATCTCTCCAGGTTTATTTTAAGAGATGGCTCGGCTTATCTTTTCAATTATGTACAGTCGTTGCGTTTCTAGTAGATTGGAGCTCCGATTTACGGGGTATCACACGAACGCAGATTGGAAGGAACTTAAAGGATGATTAGATTAGTTACAGTATTTAAATCGGGATTATTATTGTTCTAATTTCTAAGGACGGTTCTTCATTGTTTTTAGCCATCTAAATGAACGTATGTACGTGAAGGTTCCATTAAAAATCAGATCAACTGGAAAACGCGGAAGGGCAAAGGTCGATACTTCAGCCCTGAGTTCGAACGTAAATGTACAAGCATTACTTCGGTAATGGCACTTATTTTTCATCGCCACGTTGGAGAAATTTTTACGTCCGCCGTCTCTAGAATTTTTGCGGCGCGGTATCACCCAAATCATTTATACTGGCTTCAGAAATAAATCATCCCCGCCGGGTACGCCACAGGATATTACTCAGTCCAATCACTACGATTGTTTCTCGTTGAAAATGTCTTAATCTTTTAACCTTGTATATCGCTAATCAACCAACAAAATTCCGCAAAACATCCTTAAAATACTTTCAAATTGCATCAAATTTGTTATGTATTTCACGGTGGATTTGAAGAAATTACTTTGTGTAAATACGCTACCGGAAAAAATTAAGGGAACGAACATATTTCATAAGAATTTTTAGTGACTTTTGACTCAATGAAAAATGGTCGTGTAGAGATAAAAGAAGAACCGTTTTGAAATTTGAACTCTAGTTCCAAGATCTTTTGACAAAAAATCTTTTTGAGCTATTATTAATTTTATTGCATGAATCGTTCAAAGGTTTAAATTAGAGGGTGGAAATTGGAGATAGGGGTGAAAATGCACCCCTTTCAGTTTTTTAATTGTAGTTCGAAAACGAAGCAAAATTTCGCTATAGTTCATAGGAAAAATTATTTAGAGAATTGAATTTCCCATCGAAATAGCTTATTTAAAAAATTTACAATAGGCCGTCAACTTTGACAGTCTGTAACTCCGTTGTTTTTCAACGAATCTTGACGATTTTTTTTTTGACTTAAAGCTCTTTTCATAAGCTTTCCGAATATATAACTATACCATGCGCGTGCGTTGTGTATTTCGTATTGCAACTAAGGCTAAAAAATTAAAAAAAATTCTAGGTTGCAAATTTGAAATTTAAAGAAAAAATAATAGATTTCAATGTATTATTATGAAATCTACCATGAAAAAAATCAGTGCGATTGTGGAAGATGCTCGGGATCGTCCAGACTAATAATTAGTTAATTTGTTTATAAGGCCATAACTTGTAAACTATTCAACTTACCGATTCCAGATTTCGTGTGAGTTATGAGGCAGTGATAAGGAATGAGAGGATGCGATGCCAAAACGTTCTGATTAATAATAACGCAGTTAATAAATGTTTAATTCAAAAGTCATAAATAAACTTCTTCTGTTGATCTAATCAATATTTTTTGACGCTCGAGTTTTGTAGGTCTTTTGAAGACGAAAAAAAAGTACTTTACTGTTTTCTCGTGGAAATGAACGGAAAAAAGTTATAAGCGAAAAAAAAAACGTGAATTTTCGTAAAAATTATACAATTAACCACCCTGTAAACAATTTTCCCCCCAATTTGTATGACTGTGGAAACTAATATGTTATTGTACATTTGTACATAACATTTAGCATCTATAGTGATAAATTCAGCTTGCCGAAACAAAATGTTACGAAATGGTTATTTCCCAGCTCATTTTCAGAAGATTGATTGATTGAAAAAATTTCTTTTGATTCCTCGATAAACAACTAAAAAACATTTTTCTGTCACAATATCTTGAAACTAGAGACTTCAAGCAAAAGCAAATCGGCAATCTCGATACGACCAATTTTTACTGAGATAACAACCTTTCAAAAATCACTACAAAATTTATGAAATATTTTTGTTCCTTTAATTTTTTCCAGTATTGTATTTTGTTCTATTCTAAACCTGTTAGGCTCCATTTCTGAGACTATTTCGAGGTATGACAAATTTTACGGCAATTCCGATGCTGCTTTGAGAGATTCTGAAGCCGATCGGACGGGTTTAGATGTATTTCAAATCGGCTTTAACGGTAGCAATATTCATCGTTTCATGTTTCTCGACCTGCAACTATTCATAGAATAACCTAATTAATACATGAAATTTGATTGAATGAAACTGGAAATCCAACCGGAGCTATAATGATTGGGGATTCGGTTAATTAGTAGCTGCGTCCCACACAAGGGCATTATTTTGGGGTTATGGCCTAAGCCTATTAGGTACCTGGACAGGTCCACGAATGGCCAAAAACTAAAGCAGATTGCGTCTTTGCCAGAATTATCAGGAAGGAATTGTCCTGTACCTCGTTAAAATTTCAAGGGAAGAAACTGTTTGTACGCGCCATTAGCTCTGTGCTAACTCAAAAAAGTAATCGTAAATTTGGGAGTTGCGTGTTTGTAAGGGCGAATTTCTCTTTTGCAGAGACAGCGATGGGAACTTATTGGACAATCTGCTCGCCCGCATGGAGCAATACGCAAACAACTTGGAGACTTTAGTGGAGGAGAGGACTGCCGATTACTTGGAGGAGAAGCGCAAGTGCGAGGTGCTGCTCTACCAGCTCCTCCCCAAGAGCGTGGCGCAACAGTTGATATCAGGCGAGTCGGTGATAGCCGAAACATTCGACTCTGTGACCATCTACTTCAGCGACATCGTCGGTTTCACTGCTCTGTCTGCTCAAAGCACCCCTCTTCAAGTTGTGGATTTGCTCAATGATCTATACACGTGCTTTGATTCGATTATCGAGAACTTCGACGTTTACAAAGTAAGTCCTCATGCGTTAATAATGGCAAACAGTCTTATTTATTTACCATCGATTTTGTGTTCCGCATTTAAATTACATTTCTTTCGAAGAATGTTTTAAGCCCGTTCAACAATGGGAAATGATAAATTTTCGCGTCTCTGTAAGCTTGACGCTGAAATTTCAACTTGTGGCGGTTGTGGATAATTTTCTTGGTACGACCGTCTAATTTTCCAATAAACGATGTTATTTGAAAATTTTATAAACACAAACTGGATTAATAATAAATATCACTGTTTCCGCTTAGTGACGTCACAATTCGTATTTTAATTGTCTCGCATAAAAAATACGGGTCCCATATTTTTTAACTGTGTGTTCTCGTCATCGGGTGTAGTTGAACCGTTGGAAAATACCCCATTCCCCATTCCAAAGTATTTCCTTATCCGAGCCCTTCCTGCGCGCCGAGAAAGAATCTCTTCGCAGATACTAAAGAACGGGTTCGTCCAAATACGAGCTACATCTTGATGGAAATCAAAAGGATGAAGTTCCTTGTAACCGGGGGAATTCTAGCTAAATTAGATAAAAGTTCAAGCATCTACATTCAACGCGGGTTATCGTTCTAAGCCGGCACAGTCTTCTCTCAAGCCCTCGCTTGTTTCTTTTTAACGCTTCCATTCATAAAAAGTTGACTCGTATAATTGGTAGGAGTACAAACGGAAGCGTTCGGCCTCGGCTGTAAAAGCTTTTTGTAGAAGACGCGAAGCTTGCGAAAATGTAACGGGTCCACCTCCAAGGTATTTTTATCATGTTTCGAATTAATATTGAATCATTTTAAATCTCGGTGAACGTCTCCGCAATATTTTTAGCTCCCTCACAAACCACCTTTCCCTGGAATTGTTACGAGACAAAAAAAATAACCGGAGTATCGATTATACCTCCAACACTTTGTTTATTACCCATACTCTAGAGATTTTGGATGCCATACTCCTAAAAATGTGGGCTATATAACCTAGCTAGCTTGTAACAGTGCTAAACCGCCAGAACGGGCTTGTGTGTTAATGTAGCATAATAATGAACACCGGATAGCATTCTATTATGGCGTCTATTATATTATCTTGTATTAATTAAATCACTCTCGGACCACATTGTCAAAGTTCACGCACGGACAGCTTTAAATAGCATCCAACATTTTCATAAATCGATAAAAATTCAGTGTCGCGCAACAATAAATAATCTAGATATAAATTGTTATCTAAAAATTAGTTATAACAATACAGTTTTAAAATAGCTGCGTCAGTTACTAACACAGCTGTTTTATTATTCTAATAATTTAAATATAAAATTTAGGAAGATCTTATCAGGGAAATACAATTAATTAGTTAAAGTTATAAAGGTGTTCTTAATGAATATTTAAAAAGGGTTGCGTTAGGAAAACACGGCCGAAAACAAAGGTTGGGTCAATCGTATCCGACCCAAAACATTTAGGAATGACGAAATAACATGTTTTATATCGCTCGGTAATTTTAATTCAACTTAAAAATTATATTAAAAACGATGCTACAAAGTTACATTGCAACAAAACGATGCTTATATTTAATATTTGGTAAAGAATAGACTATTAAATTCCTCATTTTCGTCGTAGCACAAAAATGTAGATATTTGAAAGCGTTTATCTCAGGAATGCATTCTCGAATATCCAATAACAGTAACGACATCGAGATGGAATATTAAAAATTCCATTTTATCGCGCGTAAATGTTATTAAATAATCGATGAAGTCGTATCGTTGTTATATACGAAATTTAATATGGATCTAAATTTCACCAGAGGTCTATTTCCTTCGGATCGAAGCCGAGTAATTTATCCGCGAGATAGAGAAACGAATTCTCCGGAGATCCTTCCTCTGAACTCTAATGAGAATAAATTGGCATAAAAATTTAAGGCTCTTAGTATAAGCCCTGTTATATGGATAGCACTACTTGCTTTTCAGGAGATTTCGAGCAGAAAATATCCAATCGGTATCCGAACAGTACTTATCAACTGATCAACTCAATCTCTGGCATTATTTATTTTATCTCTCGGATCTCGTTTTATATAGAAAAAAAATAAGCATTAAATGTTTCGAGAGCCAAGTCATTCCTAGTTAGGAGCTTAGACTACAAAGCCCTTCCAAACTTCACATCGTCTACACGAGTTTTTTTCATTGTTAAAGGTGGAAACCATAGGGGACGCTTACATGGTTGTTTCCGGTTTGCCAGAGAGAAACGGCAACAAACATGCTGGAGAAATAGCTCGTATGTCCCTCGCCTTGCTAAAGGCAGTGGGGAAATTTCAGATCCGCCACAGACCCGAAGATCCTCTTCAACTTCGCATAGGCATACACACAGGTAGGCCTGAGGCAAATAGTCACGCCTTTTTATTTTCGTCGCTTTGTGTTATCAAAAGTGTAGTAAAAATAATGATTGTCCTCAGGTCCTTGCGTCGCAGGGGTGGTAGGCCTGAAGATGCCCCGCTACTGCCTCTTTGGCGATACCGTCAATACCGCTTCTCGCATGGAATCGAACGGGCTGCCTTTGAAGATACACGTCAGCCCAATAACCAAAGGCGTTCTCGATACATTCGGGACATTCGACCTGGAATGTCGCGGCGAAGTGGAGATGAAGGTGAGTACCTAAATTTTATTTAAAAATGTCTTCCGTTTGTCCTCCGGTGACGTTATTTGACTCAACTTCCCGATTTTGCTTCTGTCGATCCCACAAAATCAGAGGCGAAGTATTTTTTTCTGTTTGTCATTTTAAAATAAACGCCTTTCAAATATCCCTGACAGTTTAAATTTTGGAAGTAATTTTCTCGCGAAAATGTGGATTCTTCCTATCAGCGCCAAATTTCCTTTAATAGGGTAAACACCGCTTTTCTCTTGTTTAATTTTATCCAATTCCTTTTTCCCTTGAGCGTAACTTTTTTACGCGTATCTCGGTTATTATTCGTTCGCGGGATTGAGGACTCATTCGATCAAGTCGCAAATACGAAATCACAGCACGTCGCCGTCGCCTGCTAGCGCTGGGACATGTTGACTTGTGCCGTTGTATGGATACCCCCAAAGTGTTGTCCGCCTACAGCTGTTTCTCTACAAGTATTTAGTAAATATCAAATATTTTTAGATCTACGGGTTACATTTATATTATTAATGCAGTACACCTGAAATACTTTTATCTGTAAATATTTGTTGTGTGCATTTGACATCCCGTTAAATTCAATTTTAAAACTGAAAATTTCACATCCTGAAAATGTTTACACTAAGACAACATTCAAATCACGTTTCCCATCTAGTTAATATTAGGTTGCGGTGAGAGTGAAAGTTCTTTGAATTCATTAATAAGTTTGGGAGAGCTGATACAAACTTTCTCGCTGATCTATCTGTTTCTGTTGTTTTTTTTTTACCATACAAAATACAAATATTCGGACGTTACTTGACAGATGTATTCAACATATTTACAATTTTTAATATTCTGTATATGCTGTGTTCAGCAACGGAATAATTTGATTATTAAAAACCGATGTGCAGTTGGTACATATTTACCTTTTGAAAGTGGGTACTGAAATTTGCTATGTATCAATATGTTGAACGTACAAAACCTGTGACACAATAGTAAAATTGTATTGTGCAAAAATTTTTAATCAGACGGAATGCACATTCAAAACAAATCAAATACAAAATATGTTTGCAGCTGTTTTGCCCTTTCAAAATGACTTATTATTTTTTAACTCGCTTTTTCTCATTTATCACCGTTCACATTTTCTTATTTTGAAAAAAAGAAACAATATCTCGCAGGTTTATTAGAAGAATTAGAAGTAAAATCAAATTGGTTGTATGTATAAATACAATTAAAATAAATTTGGGGTAGCCGGTAAACAATTTCGTTATTGATCAATTAGTAAATTCCTCCGAAAAATTAATTTGGGACCATATCGCGCTCATATTTACAGAGTGGTTATCCACATTTGATTCAGAGGTTACCGTCGAATTCAAAACGCATCAACACCTTACCTCAGGCGTAAAGTACAAAGTAAATTTTTTTAATTAAAACAAATTAAATTTTGCTCTCTCAAAGGCCTTTTCGATTATGTTGTTTTGTAACAAACAAACCACAACCGATTTCTGTAAGATACAAATTAAATCTTGTATACCTACTGTTTTCTTATTAGGGCGTATTATTAAATTTCTCTCGATATGTTTTACACAAAATTATATCAAAGGGAATAAATTTCACTTAGGGCAACCGGTTAATTATTCATCCTTTGTGTCAAAAAACAGGCCCGTTTCAAAGAGGAATGGAACAGGTACCGGCTTTTGCTTGAACTCGTATATCCCAAAATATTTAACGTGCAATAATTAATTAAAAATATAAAATCGCTACGTTTTTTTAATTTTATCGGTGTTAATATACAAAAGCATTCACACAAGTCAAAGAGATGACAGAAGTATTTTAATAAAATACTTGAGTTAAAATCGTTGACATGAATTAAGAATAGGTCCAAGAACAGATCCCTGTAGCATTCCTGCTAGACAAATTAAATCAGAGCTTTCAGTTGTTTCTTTATAAGTGCGTTTTATGAAAACACAATCCAACGCTTTAGTAAGATCTAAAAGTTAAGAACATAAAAATCGTTTTTGCTCGAAGTCAGTTATAGAAAAACAGTTCCTGAATCTAAGTTGGTTCGAGCTGAAAAGGTTTTCTCAGAATAATTAATAATTTTTTTGTAATGAATCTTCCCTAATAATTGTTTTTATTTTTGGCTGAAAATATAAATACCTAAAGCAGCTTTCACACTTAGTCTAACTCAATTACTCATAATTTATGCCAAAAAACAGAACGAATTCTAAGGTTATCATTTATAACACAAATCCAACTGTTCATTAGGCCCCCATCTAGTTATCCTCGAGCGGAGTTCACTTATTTCAGAGATATTGCCTCCACTTCGGCCTATTATATTTGCAAATGAAATTTTAATGGGAACGGCGAATGATCCAAGGAATTCCGTTTGATTCCTTTGTTGTTAAAGGTGAAGCTTTAATCGCGGAATAGATTAGATTTTGCCCGAAAAGAGGACAAAAATTGCCGGATAGGATTATTCGATTAACAAAAAAAAAAAACGAATACAGAGACCAGCCCCCACATGCGGCCACTGAATTAGGAATCATACAGGTGGATGATTAGATTAAACATTTTTAATAGATACTTTTTGTAAGCATTCAAAACAATTTCACAATGAAAAGTGATTCTTTTGTGCGTTCACTTATTTAAAAAAAAAAATGGGATTTAACATGTACCATTTATTCCGAGGAAAACGAGGAAATTAATTTTTTCCGTGAGGTCGGATAAAATGGAGACATCTAATTAGTTTTTAATGCGAGTTTAATTTCAATTTTTTGAACTGAAAATATTGCTTAAAATATCAAAACGAAACACGTCAAGTTCAGATCCGAGATCCGAAGTAACATCCCCTGCTAAAACTTCAGCTATAAACAGATTTTAGAAGAATTGATTTAATGCAGAATATTTTTCGGAGACAAAAAATATGTAAGCACATATTTTATTGATACCTGTTGTAAAGCTTCGTCACTTAAGACATAAGCGTGTACAGTTTTCATAAAAGATTAAAAATACCTTTTAACCGTTATTTTATTGGGGAAAGCAGGAAAAATAAAATCGTTGAAGGCGAATTTAAATTTTGCCGTCGACGACCACGTCAACGTCGAGGACGCACTTATCTCGATGTAAAGCCTTCGCGAGGGGGATTCATATACGGTTCACAATTAAATAAATTTCAGACCACAATTTTCGTTCCATATTTCTCGCGAAGGAGTTATTAGGGCATGTGCTTTTCACACTTCTCGACGACTTAGCTCGCCCACATAAATATGTACGAAAAGCCGGGTTAGAAATTCCCCTGCCTTATTTCTATCCCGGGTTATACGTATATGTATTTAACGTTGGATTTATGGGTCGCATATTGCAGGGTTTCGATTTAATGCCCCTCTATCACCTCACGCTTCGTTGTAATCCAATGAATATTTTTAACTCGGCGCTCAGGTACCCACCGTCAGCAAACTCCAGCCCAAAAACATTTTAAGAAAAATGTTTCTACCAAAACATTAAATTTTTCACCGACAAATACAATTGCATTTAACTTTTTTTTTTGCAAAATACATTTATTTTTTAACCTTTAATTATTTTAAAAAATGGGGAAGCATTTTGCGTGAATAAAATTCAATAGCATTGCAAATTGGACGTAATTTTCAGGACTGCACATTTGACTAACCAGCTTTTAATCTGGGATAGATTAGCTTCAAACGTGTAATACGTATTTACCGGGAGAATATTAATGAATGAGGAACGCAATAAATCTTGGAGTGGGTTTGAGAGTGGCAAAACCTAATGCTGGATAATTACCATCAACGATTGTTGAGTATTATTGCAAATACCTGCGCCTCTAATTTTCACTGCAGAACGTTACGTTCTACAAAGGCAATTTAAGCGTGCCTAATTGGACATAATTACCTGCTCAAAATGAACGCGACAAACATATAACACAATGTTACATCCATGTTGTATCATAATTATTAATTATCATAATTTCTTTACACACGCGTTATATTTATCTTTAAGTATAAGTACAGTTATAAATGAGATGTTTTGTTTTAGGGCAAAGGAAAAATGGTAACTTACTGGCTGAACGGAGAGCGTACAAACAACAAGGTCGTAACAAAGCCAGGGCCGTCTCTGGAACATAAAATGAACAAACTTCCCACCACTCCAATTCCCATGAACGTCCGCAAAGAGATGGCTAATAACGGGAAACTGTTAAACGCTATGGGAACTCCAGCCCATCAAAACGATGAGGCTGAAGTACCATTATTAGCCATAACTTCGCCTCTGGATTATCATTCAGACTCCCATGCTTGAACTAGCCCAGAACTAAATTCCTGGTAGCTGTTCTTGTTCTGGGAATGTTCTTTGTCCAGACTATGTGCCCCTTTCTGAACCACCCGCTTAGTTATATACATTCTCTGTGTTGCCTATATGTAACCGATGGTACGTGAATGTTTTCCGGTGTTTATATATGTCGACGTCTAAGGATGTTAAATAAATGTAGAACGTTGCTCAGTATTATCTACTTTTGAACTTTATCGATGTATGATTGTTATCAAGGCAGAAAAATTGCTTTTCTTAAATGTCATTGATGTTTTGAGGATATCGGCAGTGTTATGATATAAGCTGAATTATCGTAATGTCTCTTTGATGTGATAAAAGAAATGTTATGTTGTAAAATGGATAATAGCTGTTTAGGTGTATCACAGTGCACAGATTATTCAAGTCTGAATATCGCAAACATTGGTGTTAGATGATATTACCGAGAGATTAAATTGTGCACATGAATGTTACTTACGACTAGTTGAAATATATTTGTACAACCCTAGATGCTGCCTCACATATACCTAAATACTTCCTTGATAAAGTAGCGAAGTCATACATTATATAGTCTCTTTTACACAATGAAAAGGACTGCTTGTAAACGGTTGGTACCTGCTTAGAATTGCGTGGTTCGTTGCTGTTTCGTAACACTACCAAGCTTTTCTTAACGAATGAGACGGGAAACTGTGTGAACAATGAATATATTTGAAGTGAGCCCTTCACAATATATTTTTGCCGTCTATAAATGTGCGACTGACCTTATCTACCTGACCATTCTCGCGGACCACACTTATTCATTTGAACAGTATTAAAAGATGCTGTAATTTAGTGCAGCACGGATTAGTTTTTAGGGCAATCGGTTTACTATTTTATGCATCTATAGTTCTTATACAGGGACGAAAATGTAAATAAAAAAAATATATTTCACACTTGTATCTGTTTAAAAAAATATGTTTAAAATATAAATGTAGGTAGCTGTACTGTTACTTATATGTGACATACGGGGGGGTGTCGAAAATTAACGACACCTTAAGAATACCCTCGAAATTTGTTCAAACATTGTTTTATTGTGTTACTATTAAGGGACAATGTTTATTATATGTTACTGAATGAGAGTATATGGCTGTTAAATATTTGTACAGTGATAGGTAACTAAATACCATAAGATGGCCAAATTTTTTGTTTTCTTTGCATATTTTCTATTTTTCAGTGAGTTATTTTGTGATACGAAGATTTGCTATCGTTATTTAATGCGTTTATTACTAATATTAATTTTAAAATATCTGGAGAATTAAAGTATACGAGGTGATTTTGAAAATTTGTCCGAATCTTTCTATAGAAAATAGAACCTATATGCTACCTGAAATGTATTACTATGCATAGAAATTGTCCAATTTGAATACCTAAGAGATTGCATTTCTTAAGTACTTGCAGTACCTATTTTATTGTATACCTTTATCTCACCCTGTATACGTAACTAAGTAAATTACTTCCAAAGACTATGTACTTAATAATTTAATATTTATTTATTTATACTATTGTATTAAAAATATCGTATGAAAGAATAAAATCCTATCATATAACGGTTTTTTTATTTAGTACCTCACATATGAATTACATTAAAACTGAGAAGCAAAATATATTTCGACTGTCCTATGGAGCAACGATGCAAGTGGCGCCATCTGTTGTTTCTTAAAAAATTTTAAATCTTAATGAGAATAACTGGCAAATCGACGCAACGATCAAAAAAAATTAATCGGCAAATAACAATTTTGTACTTAAAAAGTTAGTTCCGAATCGCGCCGAATATGTCTCGTCGTCATAAGTTGAACTGACCACGGCTACTGACGAGTTAAAAAATTGAAAAAAAATTACTCGGCAAGGCGCAATTTTATACAAAAAAAAGTTAGTTCCAAATGGCCTAAAAGATGGAGACACATATATATCGCCGACATAAGTTGAACGTGAAACAATGAACCCAAAGTTAGTTTTGGGAAGGGGCAGGTGGGCGGGTGAGGGTTTAGAGCAGAGCGATGATTTCTCCCACGAACAATTAGATAGGTTCTAGCAAAATTTAATGAGTATGTTTGTTAATAATAGTGTTTTTGTTTGGAGAAAAATATGAAAGCCCCCCCCTTTTGGCAAATGAGTTACTGAATATTAAAATTCTTATCGGGGGTGTCATGATTTTCCGTTCAACCTGTATATGTGACATGTAAGTGCTGCCATCTTTTGATTAATTAAAAAATTATCCAAAAATGATAAGCCCTTAATATTAGAATTCAAAAATGTAAAACATTTTTGTTGTGGGCGTTACGATTATTTAAGATCTCTGGCGAAAGATTTTCTGAATATTAAAATTCTTGTCACAGTCTCACAGTTTTCCGTTCAACCAGTGCTCATGAAGTGCTGCCATCTATTGGGGCCATATTAAGACATTTGTAGACACGCACTATTTACAGGAATAAAAAACGCACTGCTTTCCATTATTTATTATTCAAAGAGCGTATATACAAAAATTATGACAAAATATTGAAATCATTGCTTAGCTATAGTGTTCCTTATAATCCATGGAATGTACCTATTGACCATCGTGTAGATGCCAGGACTGCCCTTATTTCCGCAACCTATGCCCCAGGATACCACTCCAATTGATGCCCAACGTGTATTGCTCAACTGATACATCAGAGGGCCTCCGGAATCACCCTAAAATCAGAACGACCGTTTAGTTAGAAAATAAAATACCTTAAATTTTCGCTATTATACAGGGTGTTAGTTAAAGGTGATTTTAAACCAAAACGGTTATATAAATATGGATCTGCTAATGAATAGTTTTTGAGATACAATGTTGAAATTAAAAAATTACCCTTTCCAAAATATTTCTGAAGATGTTTGCTACAGAATGACGAAACGTAACCTAATTATTTATCTAATTTAAGGATTCACGTCCACAGAAAAATATGATACCGGTGGAAATAGTGGAAGTTACTTTCACTAAAAACCGCAGAAATTGGACGCTGTAGAATATTTTGAAAGTTTTATCACTGTTTCAAGCTCCTTATGTTGTTTCCAAGAAAAAATCTTTCATTTTATTCGAAAAGTCATCCAAATTATTACTTTAACTTTCATTAACGTTACCAAGCACTCCATTAAACCGAAAGGGCCCCACAGACTTCGTTCCATTCATGCGAATGGGGCGTACGGACCAAATCCCGCGAACCGAGAAAGGCAACTTATCTAACCGAAACATGACGGTGAAACTGTACCGCTATTTTCTCCACACATTGTGTGTCTGGCACCTTCGTGCACGTTTGCGCGGCCCAATTCGCACGAATTGAATGAAACAAACTTTTTTTGAGAAACGAGTCCTAGAAATATTTTACATGTAATGAAATAATAATAATAAATAATATCTCTACCCCTCATTCTATTCGCAAAGACTAGCCCAGAAGTTGAAGACTTGTACGGGAGAGGGGACGGCATATTATTCAGTAGGTTGCATGTGCGAACGTCCGGGAACGCCTTACGTTGGAAAGCCCTAACCACCGTTAAGCGTAGGAATGAGAGAAAACTTGGAAAACCTCATTAATTAGGGCGGTGGTCAAACGCCGACTGGTCAATCTCTCACACTGACCCAAGTGAACGTTGTTCCATCCTACCATACCCGCAGAGAGGCTGACTAATTCTTCTCGATATCTTTTTTCTTGGAAACACCACAAGAAATTACAGGAAGTGATCAAATTTTCAAAATATCTGCTATTAGGCTGCTTTCGGATGGTGGTCGCTAGTTCCCGCCACTAGCGTCCACCACATGTTGCAGGGCCAGTGCCTAGCGGCAAAATATGAATACACCGCGACCGTATCGGCTGGAAAACATATCAAGACAAAATTTTTTTGACATCTTCACTGACGTTCGTCCCCGTTCAATTTTCGGCGAGGACTCTTTTTAAAAAAGAAATTTCTCTTAGAAGATGCTAATAAATCACCTTCACTATATAATGCTCGCGGCTCGCGGGGAAAACCTTTTGTAATACCGAATGCCTCTTTTCGAGGCCGAGCGTGGGAGCGAGAGTGACCCACAGTCCTTAATATATGATATAGTTTAGATACTTACCAGACACGAATCTTTCCCTCCTTCATATCCAGCCGCACAGATATTGTCATCCGTGATCTTCTGTACAAAGGCATCAACGCAGTTTTGGTGTGGCCAAACAGGAACCTCCACTTGAAGCAAAACCTCACTGGTCGGACCTGCGTAGTACTGTTGCCCCCACCCGGCCACCACCGCTACTTCATTTTCGAAAGTTTGACCAACAGGCGGTAAACAAATAGGCCAAATGTATGTGTTGAAGGTGGTCGGCTTATCCATCTTTACAATGGCAATGTCGTTTTCGTACGTCGATAGTACATATCCTTCGTGTTCTATAATTTTCTCAACTCCGTAATCACGTGATCTTGTCTCGTTGGACGTTGCGAAGTTGTATTCACCTAGCCTGACCCGTATTTCTGCAGCTGTAAGACTGAAATACATAATAAGTTAGTGAAGAACCCTCATGAATGAATCACGGTAATACCCTTGAACGCAATGCGAGGCTGTTAAAACGTGAGTGTCCGTTATAAGAGATCCTCCACAAAACTGTTGCTCTAAACCCTGTTCTAATTGCTTCTGACGATAAAGGGCAGCTATCCAAGGCCATTCCTGAATTCCCGATTTTGTGTCTTTGACGGATCTTCCCTTGTCTGGAATACCACATCCTGAAAAAACAAAATACTTAGCCGTTCTATGCACAGATGTAAACTAATTTTTCTCGCATCTAAATAAGATTTTACGTAGGTACCTCATTAACAATATTTAAAGTATTTTTTACACGTTTCATTTAAAGGTATTAAGATAATTCAAGCTAGTAAAAAAAAAAATCCTTAAACTTCTAATTATATTTTCCAAACTTAGGTATTTATATTAGCAGGAAGTACCTTAAACATTTTCATTTACTAAATGTAAAAAAAAATTCATATGATAAACATTATTGTGTTGTAATTAATAATTATTGTCATTGTTCTTCTTCTTCTTTTTGTTGGCTTCACCCACGGGGGTATTTAGCCAGACAATTACCATAATACTCTATGTATATCGACTAACAAACATAACCTCAAATGTTTCAGACACAGACTTCTTCTTCTTCTTCTTTTCTTGGCCCTCACCCAGTTTCATAAGTTATAATTTTTATTCTTGGGAATGCACCATGAAGTATATCTGAGGTTAAGTACTCATATTCCCTCAATTGATTTCCAATATCTTGAAGAAGTGTGTTATTACAATATGATATACAAATATATACGGCATGTATGATTGCTATTGTTACCACAGATTATACAGTTGGCCGAGCTGAAATATCAAATCTTAGAGCGCATGGTGAACTCCACCATTATTATAAGGCTTTTTTTCGCGACTGAATATTGGTGAATATTGGTTTGTAATTACTATTTCTATCTCTTTTGATCTTAATTGTCATGTGATAGTTTAAATCTCATTAATAATAATAATAATAATAATAATAATAATAACAATAATTCTTTATTTGTTTTGTTGCTACAAACTAGTTATGGATTAGCATTGTCAAAAATAAAAAACAAGAATATGAGATGAAAAATTCTACACAGACATAATATTAAAATAAAATATATAACGACTAGTGACGTACATTTAAAACATTATTTATTATTAAGTATATATAATTCTCGTATAGGTAACTATATTCACTCATACTACACGTACGACTTCACACGCGAAAAAAGCCTATTACCTCTACTTGGGTTCTTCAAAAAATTCTTGGAATGGGCCTAGAATCGCAAAAACACTACTTTATTATAATTAATGTATGTATGAGATCTAGTTGGAAGGTCGTTTCATGAACATCCAACATAACCTCTCAAACTGAAAACTAAGAACACGGAAACATTCTTCTTCTTCTTTTTTTTGGCCTTCACCCAGAGGGTATTTAACCAGCTTAAGAACACGGAAACACATGATCCCAAACTCACATATTCTTCTTCTTCTTCCACAAACTACGCAAATTCGCGCTGAATTTAAACTTTAAAACAAGTTACTACAGTAAAAACTTATAAAATGAAAATTTTATATCCGTGTCAAATAGGGTGTTAGTGTCTGGAGCCCCGACATTAGGCTATTGATTATACCAAAAAAAAACAGGGTTAAAAGGAACTATGACATGCAAGCAATTTTATTGCATAAATCGTTCAAAAGGTCATTTTAGATGAAAAAACCGCGGAGTGCTATTAAATTAGAGGGTGGAAATTGGAGATAGAGGTGAAAATGCACTCCTTTCAGTTTTTTTATTGTAGCTCGAAAACGAAGCAAAATTTCACTATAGTTCATAGGAAAAATTATTGAATTTTCCATCGAAATGGCTTATTTAAAAAATTTAAAAGGAAACTTATGCAAAAAATTTATTTGATTTAAATATTATGTTACATGCCATGAAAAGCAGGAATATCAACTAATTAAAAATATTTCATGAAAAATTTTTCTAACGACTTCCTACTGAACGAATAAAATGCTTAGAGAGAAACAAGAAACACACTTTACGAGTATCAGTGTTTTCAGCGGATCAGAATCTACTTACATCTTTCACAAAGTTTGCACAACTAAGTTAAATTAAATGGATTTAGAAGGTATTAAATTTTCGTCTAATAAAATATGTATTGTATACCCTGAGAGTACCAAATATGCGTCAGTTTTCAATGTAATGATGAAAATATAGCATAGGTACCTGTATTAGTAGCATTATCGTCGTAATCATAACCTCCGGCTGGTAAATCCATCACAATATGTGATCCTGCTGCACCAGAACTAACTAAGTCATCGGGGCAGCACACTCCAACAAATCTAAAAAAACATTAATATACTGTACTTTATGTTCGATATAACTAAAATTTTAAGTAAAACCGTTATACACAGTAATTTTAATATTATCAATTATATACTATACTAAGTCTGGTATATTAATATTTAGTATTTCTGTAAGTTCTTACGCTTTTTCTATAATACAGAGGAATTCCAGCTTATTTTCTGAATTGCCCATAACGTCCATTTGACAAAATGGCAAATGTTTGCAGTGACCTTTCATATCTCCTGGACCAACACACTCCTGATACCTTCTATTAAGCTATAAAAAAAATTATGATACTTTTATTAACCTTAGAATAAGCACATAAATAAATAATAATAGCAGTTATGCCCCATAAATGTGGTATTTTTAATAAATGTTAGCAGTTGTATTGTGAGAGAGGCCAAATAAGTCTTAGAACTATTTTTTTTTACCTTAAATCTCAATCCTATATAGCGTTTTCTTCTCACATGGTCCTTGTTAAAAAAGTCGTCTCTATCATTCTCTAGCCTTGGTTTATTAATCAGAATTCTGTTGGAATCTAAACAAAGGGCAAATATATTAGTGCTATATTACCTAATATTTATTTTTTCAATACCATTTTTTACAACGTGACAAAGGCTACTTTGAAAGATTTCTAAGAAAAACAAAACTATTATCCAAGAAAAGCCCATTATAAATCCAAGCACTAACCATGCCGAAATAAAAATAATTAAGTTACTGATAGTGATAAATCTTCTTCCTGTTTTTTTTTTTATCACCATGTAGGAGGATGTCATTCGCTCTAATATCTTTTTTTATTTATTTCTATAACACATTACGAATTTTATTTTATTTTAAAGGTAGTCAAATAAATTCAGAAGAGTTTTCTAAAATTACTCTACGGACTAGATTCCCCGACTAACATTGAGTTACACCGTCAATATCTAGCAAACAGCTGTAATTAATAATTATCAACATTAAAATTCGTATCTAAATATATTAGTTATATATAAAATATATTTTATTCTTGTTGTTTTTGCAAATATTTTTGACATTGTCGTTTCAAAACTTTTTCTTTCTGATCGTCCACTTTTCTACTAGTAAAGTTATGGTCATGATCTACCGTGCTTTAAAAATTAAGTGTAAGGGCTTTAAAGCCAAATTATAACCCGGGACATTACCACTAACGGCTTCCCGGCGTTTTCACATGACCCAACATCGTTCAGTGCGGTCGTATCGCAGTCTCCTAAATCCCAAGTGTTTGTAGAGAGATGTGGTCTAAATCAAATGCTTTTGTTTTCTTATTCATAGGATCGGTACGCCAACACCACCCTTAAAGCAGATCAACCCAAACGAGACTTGAAAAACAGAAATAACAATTTCCATTATGGTTACAGAGCCCAAAAATAATTTTTTTCGTAAAAGTCCCAGTCAGAATGGTTTTAGTTCAACGGAAAAAACGTGTTGCGTTTAAAAATTGTACCATGACAAAGGTCGTTATTTCATGCACGGGAAAACGAGGTCACACTAATATTAATAAAAAACATAGTTTTATTAATGACTTCCTCCAGTTTAACAAATTAAATAAAATATACCACTTTCTCGGACTTTCAATTAGAAACAACCAAGAGGATCAGCGACTAACAACCAACGAGCTAAGTATAAAAATCAGACTATCGCTCACACACACACAAATCAAAGTTCGCTGCATGCTATCACGCGAATAGTTGGAGACAAAATAGACAGAATTCGAACTATCTAAGCTACGTCAAAATTAAATAACATTCTTTTTTTGTAGTCAATTTTATAAAAATTATTTTAATTTCGTTTATATTCTACTTTTTTGTTAAACGGCTTGTACAAATCGAGACACCCTGTGTATAATAATCGGCATGGAGGCATTTTGCCATGAGGCAATATTTTCAATGGAATATGAAAGCTGAAAATACCGTAAACAATTCATCCCATTTGATTGTCAACGCGTCGTACAGCCAATATCGAATTCGTATAACACGTTCTATGCTGGAGGATTTTCTGTATCAGAAATTGAAAAATGACCAAAATATCAAACGATGTTCGCGTTATACCGGGCCCGGTTATCACTTTTGGGGGAATATATGGTTTATGACATGCAAATTATTTCAATAAAATATATACGCATCCGCTACGTTAGGGGAATTTAAACGAATATACAAAATCCCTTTGATATATAAAGCACAGTGACGGGTAAAGTATTTAAAATATGGAACACGTTACATTTTTAAAAGCAACGAATCCGCTACATTCCACAACCCCAAAAATTCGAAAAAAGAATATTACATTCTTGTTAATGCTGACCTCACTATTAAATTTTTAATGTTCTTTCTTTAACCCTTTGTTCCCGGCAAAATATATTAAGGCGATAAATGATGAACAAAGAAAAATGTCTAAAGCCATTTACGTGAATTTAAATACGAGTTTTGAATACGCTCCTATATTTATGCAGATCGGGCCAATTAAATATACACGATAGTAAATTTGCCGCGTTAAAAATGTGAAACTAAAGTATTTTTTACCTTTCCATATATGTAAACATTGGGAAATGTTAGACCGCTCGTTTTACATAAAAGCCATAGTATTTTGTAACACTTCACACGCATTTGTGATCCTTTGCCTCGATTTAATAACCACTTGGCGCCAAGTGGAGTTCGCTGTAAGAAAACCTTCACGCCGTATCGTGGATAGTTCAAATCAAATAGACCAGTCCCTTTCTTCATACGAGGCGTGCAAGATGCGCCTTTTATTTTTATTGTTGAAACGTGTTTTCATATTTTGCTTACTGACTTACATTTCTTACCTCACATTTTCTTGGTTGGTTACTTTTTTAAAATAACCCTCAAAAATCAACACACAAAATATTGGAAATATTTTCAGTACTTTAAATTGACTTTCTACGTCGATTTGAACAGGATCTTTACGCAGTAATGGTTTTCTTCGTTTGGTAAACACAATGTTTGACATACCGGAGCCCCCGTATGAGAAATTGTGCTTAATAAGAGTTGTTATCCGCTGTTAAAACATTCATACGGATTATAATGTATACAAGAAGTATTTTTACGAGTGCCAACTGAACTGAGTGATAGTAATGAGTGGGCGCATGTAAATGAAGTAAAGGAATGATGCAGTGGTATCAGGTTGGTCTGCGAACTGTGCCACGATAGTTCTCGAACTGGCTATTTGTTTTGCAATCATACGTGGTAAATGCTGAGACTGAGGCAGTCTACGAGATATATGATTTAACTTATCTCCTTGCTTATAATATTCCCGTTTCTAAAAATAACGATAATCCACCCCTGTACGAAATCACGGGCATCGCGAAAAGCTAAAATTCGATGCTATTTACAGAGAGAAAACTCCAAACCACTTAAAAGAGAATAACGCCTAATTGGGATGTTGTTATGTTTTAACTGATACCGTAACAGCTTTCGTATCTGCAAACATATTATAACGACTTCATTAAAACGAAAATAAGAGGCTAAGTGATCGCATAAAAGAGTGAAATTATAGCAACTCGGAGCGGGCGTCCTCAAACGTTGATTTCTGAAATGTAGAATATGTGCAGGGTGAATCATTGTAAGTGTAAAAAAAATCGGAAGAAGATAGACCATGAAAGACATTTTTTATGCAGTTTATTAAAAATGGTATTAGACATAAAAATAAATAAAACAAACAATTTGGAAATATATAATTTTATAATCGTAAACTGTTATCACAAGGTGTATTTAATTTTTTTAATTTTAAACCCTGTAACTCCTAAATCGTTTAATAATTAGAGTCAGGTATACATAATAATAATAATGATAATGATAATGATAATGATAATGAAAATGATAATGAAAATGATGATGAAAATGATAACGACAATGATAATGACAATGACAATGATAATGACAATGATTCCATTTTAATCATTATTATGAAGTGTTTAAGCTCAAAAAACGTGACCTTTTAATTTTTTCAAAAGTTTGACTGTTTGACACATAGAAACGGTTCGCTAGATCGAGATGAAACTACACAGGGTTCTTCTGGGTATATCAAACTGTAAAAGTCATGTCATAAATTATACTTTTTTTACTGTTTTTAAAATTCGTGTAAAAGATGAAAAATAAAAAAAATTCAGAGAAATTGCGGCAGTATGTTATAGGAAATTTATTCCTATATATCAATAATTGAAGACAAAAGGATCCTTTTCCGATAATTCGGTGAAAAATGGTCTTATCGAAATTAAAGAAAAAGGAAATTGAAGCTGAATAAACAAGCTATCTGGTCCATGCACCGGCTTAGCTGAAAAAAATTTTTTGCAAAATTTTTTTGTGGCGGTATTTCTTAGAATTGCATGATAAAAAATTTCGACCAAGATCTAAAAACTAGAATCTTAGAGCTTCAAAATGTTTTTTTTTTAATTCCTGATACGACCATTTTTCACCTAAATACAATCTGTCAAAAATCACGGAAAAATTTCGGAAATTCATTTGACCCTATAATTTTTTGCATTAGTGTATAAGGCAAACTCGCAACATATCTGACGCTCTCTATCTTCCTCTGAATTTTTCACACCTGCTGTAAATTATCCTTTACATTGTTGGGATGAAACTTATGTGAACCTGGCACCCGACTTATCAAAATTCAAAATTTTTTTTTAAATTCTTATAGATTTTCGTTTGTAGTTGTTTTGTTATAACAATATTTACGTTTGTAGTAGCTCAAGAAAAAAGTTATATGGCCTATAAAAAAACGCATCCCCCCCAATTTGGCCGCACTTAAATCTGATGGTTGATTCCTATAGAAAATCGTTTGTAGTTGATTGTAGTGAACGAATTTTCGTTTGTAGTAGCAAGGAAAAAAAGTTAGAGCTATTTTAAAAATTTGCCATGAGTAAATTTAGAAAGCGCTTCTAATTTGAAGTTTATTTGTGTATAATAACTTCTATACGTCAAATTATGTTTTTAAAATTGTTTAAAGTTGTTAGTAGTTGCACATATTTCGTTTGTAGTTCAGCGAAAACTAACTAAAAGTAACTACATTCCAAACTATGGCTCCAAAATCGGTTGTAGTTGTTTGTAGTAGCGTTTATTTCGTTTGTAGTTATATGAAAACTGACGAAAAGTTACTAAACTCTAAGCTCTGGCTTTAAAATCGTTTGTAGTTGTTTGTAGTAGCGTTTATTTCGTTTGTAGTTCTTCGAAAACTTACGAAAAATCACTAAACTCTAAGCTCTGGCTTTAAAATCGTTTGTAGTTGTTTGTAGTAGCGTTTATTTCTTTTGTAGTTCTCCGAAAACTGTCGAAAAGTCACTAAACTCCAAGCTCTGGCTTCAAAACCGTTTGTAGTTGTTTGTAACAGCGTTTATTTCGTCTACAGTTACATGAAAACTGACGAGAAGTTACTAAACTCCAAGTTATGGCTCAAAAACCGTTTGCAGTTGTTTGTAGTAGCGTTTATTTCGTTTGTATTTACATGAAAACTGACGAAAAGTCACTAAACTCCAAGCTCTGGGTTTAAAATTGTTTGTAGTTGTTTGTAATAGCATTTATTTTGTTTGTAGTTCTTCGAAAACTGACGAAAAGTCACTAAACTCTAAGCTCTGGCTTTAAAACTGTTTGTAGTATCGTAGTATCGCAGAGTCACTATACTCCAAGATCTGGCTCTAAATTCGTTTGTAATAGGAGT